TATTCTAATACGGGATCAAGTAACTTCAATGCGGTTCTTTGTTCTTACACTTGCATTGAAATCACGTGATTTACCGTTAGATAAGCCTAAAAGGCCGAAAAGAACTAAGGGAACTGTTACAACTTAACTTAAATACAAAAGTAAAAAAAAGCTACTAAATATTATACTTAATTTAGGGACGGTGACACGCTACAGTTCAGTCATATAACTATGGACAATTACTACCGCGTAATACTCATGTATGTTCTCTAAACTTACTGGCAAATGTAACTTAGTCGGGGGCGGCACTGCTGCTTCGTCACTTTGCAAAATGTTCAAGAACTCAGGGGGGGGGGGGGTTATTAACTTACTACTTACTTTCCCACCTCCCAGTTCTTCTAAGGCCTGATGGAACTGATCAATTTTTCGGAGGGCTTCTGTTACGGTACTATTAGTTTCATAAATAGCAGAACTTAACTTTAGATAGCTAAATATGCCCTTAAGCTGATGCTGGACCATCTGATCCCTTTTGAAAAGCCTAGATAATGTGTTATGCATTGACATGTGGTATTCTTTTATGGTAGAAATAACTAAATTTAGTGTTCGAGTGTGATTGACTAGTTCTGCCTGAACATTACTAAGCAAGGTATATTGTTTCAAGCTGTTGTGGGTTAAATTTACAGTAAGATTATTTAAGTAACTTAATTCACTGTTCGCAGCGTTTAAGTCTGTACTGTCCATTGTGCCAAACAAATATTTTAACGCATGCCCCCCGCATCTACTAATCCGCGTTTGGCTCGCCTCTTTGGGAGCAGAGTTACTAACTCTTCCACTTCTGAAAGATACTCGTTAATTTTTTATTGTAGGGTGGCGAATTCATATCTGAAACTTTCCTCTAGGCAAATTATAGGAGATTGAATACTTACATTTTCTCGAACCAACTGATAATGGAATATATCTAGATACTGTTTTACCTCTGATACCAGGGCACTTAGGTTGCTGCCATGTACCTGAATTTCTGTAAGGTTATATTGCAGTGCAATTCTCCAGTGGCTGTCAGTCAGCAGGTCTTCCTGGCCTCCTTCGAAGAAGATCCCCTGCTCGAAGCCGCTCACCGCTCCCAGACTTAGCAAAACTTGAGAGTGAGATCCCACCGATACACGATCCCACCGCACCTATCCAACGCAGTCATGCAGGTAATTGGGCCGTCAACGCAATCGACAGGGTTCAGGCTGATCGTTCGGAGCAGAGGATGGTTGACTATCTACCACGTTTGGGTCGATAGCATCCTGCTCTTCCTCGGATACTGCTTCTGGTTCAACTGTCAGCTGAGTGGGCTTAAGGCCGCGATTCAGGCAAGGTTTTATTCTGTTATCGTGTACAGTCACTTCTCGGTTCCTGACCCTCAAAACAACGTTAACCGAGGAGAGCACTTTCAACACCTTGTAAGGTCCCTTCCATAGATTCGACAACTTTTTACACACGATGGCGCCCTATGCTTGGTACGTGTAACAGGTCCAGTTGTCCTTCGCTGTATTTTACTACTTTCGCCCTTTTATTATACGCACGTTCGTTCTTTCTGCTGGCCATGGATTTCCTTTCTGCCGCTATTTAGAACGTCTCTTGCAGTCTCTCCCGTAACGTTTCTACATGATCGTTATACGCGTCGGTGTCTTCGGTAATGGTTGGGCCTGCTTCGTACGGTCTTTCCATCTTCCTACCGAAAACCATCTCATACGAGGAGAATCCCGTTTCTTCATGGCCTTGTGAGTTGTATACCATCGTTATGTAGGGGAGGTAGTCGTCCCAGTCAGTCTGATGACGATGGACAAAATGGCTGAGCATGCGCGCTGAAGTGGCGTGCACTCGCTCCAACCTACCTGTATCTTACGCACATGCAAGAATTTACAGAGCTGCTTGATTAGATCCGACGTAAAGTTAGCACCCTGGTCAGTAATCAAGGACTTGGGTACTGCAATCTTCGTAATTACTCGCAAAACAAGGGCACGCGTGACACATTTGGCCGTCTGGTCAGGTAGAGGGGCAAACTCACAATACCGTGTGAAATGTAGTACTACTTATGTAGTATATCACGCTTAGTATATATACGTTCTAAGAGCTACTGGTGGGCAAAGGTCCTACTAGGTCTGCCGCGATAACTTCAAACGGGATCTTCGGTTCATTGAAGATGTCTCCCAGAGGAGCCTTAGCCTTCCCATAGTCAGTCCGCTGACTACAGCTCTTACAGGTCCGGACGTACTCGAGAACGTCTCTCTCCATTCCTCTCCACCAGAACTTTTCTTTTATCCGGCCCAGGGTCTTAGACGGACCAGAATGACCGGCTGTGGGTAGGTCATGGTTTAGGCGAATTACCTCACTGGTCAGACTGACCGATACAACCAGGGATTTCTTCCCACCCTGTACCCTGTACAAAACCTTTTCTGGGCTCATTTAAAAGTTCTTTGCCCTTTTGAGGTCCTGACAGTGTGGGCCCTTCTCTTGGTGCTCTCAGAGTGTGGCTAAGTCAATCATAGAGAACTCGTCCCTGCGAACGACAGCGCACGTGGCTCTACTGAGACCATCTGCGTTGCAATGATTCTTTCTAGGCTTGTGTTCTACGGTATAAGTGAACTCCGCCAGCCACAGTGCCCACCTTGTCAACCTACTACTGGGGTCCTTTAAGGATAACATCCATCTCAGGGTAGCGTGATCTGTGATCACCTTAAAAGGGTGGCCTAAAAGGTAACTTCGAAAATACTTTGTACTCCACACTAAGCTTAGGAGCTCAAGCTCGGTAGTGGAATAGTTCTTTTTTGCTGGAAATAGCGTTCTCGAGCAGTATGCTACCGAGTGTTCCTGGCCATCAATCATCTGAGAGAGTACAGCCACCAAGCTTATATAAAAAAGTATCTTAAGCTATAAGTAACGTATAATAAAGTAAGTAGCTTATTTGGAAAGTATCGCCATGAGTACTTGCGTCGGTAGCTAATATAAACGGTTTTCTGAAGTCAGGGTAAACTAGAACAGGTGCAGAGATCAACGCCTGCTTCAGTCTTTCGAACGCCTCTTGACAAGCCGTGTCCCAGTTAAACTTGCATCCCTGCTTTGTTAGAGCGAACAAAGACATGGCGATGGTAGAAAATCCATCTATAAAACGCCTATAGTACCCTGCTAAGCCTAGAAAGGAGCGCACATCCCGTACCGTTTTCGGAACAAGGAAGTCACGAACAGCTATTACTTTAGCGGGGTCAGGCTCTACTCCCTTCTGAGTGATCACGTGTCCCAAGTAATTTACCTCTTGCACTACGAAATTACATTTACTCAGTTGTACACTGAGATTAGAATAGAATAGAATAGAATAGAAACGGCTTCTATTTGAAGCGGTTTTCAGTACAAAAATACACTGCTTTTTAAGTCAGGTACAAAGTCTGCAATACAATAATAAAAGAGACCAAATAATTTAACTAAAACTAATACAACTAGACTATATTTATTTACGAATACAGTGTTTTTGTTTCTTGTCTGAAAGACTTATAACTTAAATTTTTAATTCTTTCAGGTAAGGAATTGTATTCCTGAGGGCCGAAAAAAGAAAACTTCTTACTACATTCAAAGTTTACACGAGGCAAATGCAGTAGGCTATCCTGTCTTGTGCACCTATCTCGTACTTCTTTTCGAGTAGTTAGTTTATCTTTGAGGTAGGAGGCTCTGTTGGTTTTGACTACTTTATGTACAATGGCAACAGTTTCAAGGACGCAGACAACCTGCACTGGTAACATTTCACTTTCCTTTCTCGTATGTGATATGTGATCAAATTTTTTTTAGATCATATACAAATCTTAGAGCATTATTTTGCAAGCGGTCCAAGATATTCAAATTTTCAGCTGACAAAGACAACCCAAAGACAGGCAAAGCATAATTTATTATTGGCATTACCAGAGATCTAACCATTTGTAATTTTACATTCTCAGCTAATATATGCCTAAATCTATTTAACACCCTGAGTAAAGATATGACCCTTTGTACGATTGTTTTACTTGCTTTGGACATTTTAATTCTGTATCAATCGTAGGCCCAAGGACTTTAACAGCCTCAGTAACCCTCAATAAATCATTTTCCAAAAGTATATTTACATTATTTTGGTGGCTTAAAAGAGTGTTTCTCAAGCAATTGCTGAAACGTATTGCTGAACACTTCTCAGTATTTAACCTAAGACAATGATTTTTTGACCACTGATAAATATTTGTCAAATCAGCATTTATTGCCTGTTCTGCCTGCAAACTCTCTGAATCTTTGAATGACAAGAGTAGCTGTGAATCGTCGGCATACGAAAAGAGTGAACAGTGGGACAATGTTTCATTCATGTCAGCAGTATACAGGATAAACAAAAGAGGCCCAAGCTCACTTCCTTGAGGCACTCCCCACATGTTTTTTGGAAGGGCTTTAGAGGTAACTCCATCCACCTTCGTTACCTGCATTCCGTTTTCAAGGTAAGATTGAAACCAATTTTGGGCTGTTTGGTCAAACTTATAATACTTTAATTTGGCTCTTAGTAGCTCGAAGTCAACAGAGTCAAAAGCTTGGGCGAAGTCTAAAGTTACCATGGCACTATTGAGCTTATTATCTTAGCTCAAGATTGACCCCTTGTAGTTTCTGCAACACTTCCCTCAATGCCTCCAGATGGGATGGTAGGTCCTTAGAGAACAATATGATGTCATCTAAGTAAACCAGGCACTTTTCACCTTTAAGTCCAATAAGAACGGAGTCCATGAGACGTTGGAAGGTCGCGGGCGCTGTACTCAAGCCAAATGGCATGCGTCGGTACTCATAATGCCCACCAGGTACATTGAACGCAATCTTTTCCCTGCTATCTTCGTCCATTTGAATCTGGTGATATTCTGCTCGTAGATCGAGAAAGGCCACACAACATTTCCCAAAAAAAGCAGGGCTTATGTTGTGTGGTTTACACTGCGGAATCTTTTGTGGTGTGACGACTATCTTAGCAGTCAAACTCTCATCTTCTATTCTTCTTTCTTCGTTGTTCTTTTTAATGGTCTCTTCAATGCTTTCTTCAGTTTCTTCTGTGTTTTTATCTTGATTGTTTTCTGAATTTTATTGTTCTCGTCTTGGTGACTTCCTCTATCTCCTTCTTTTTCTTTGTTATCTTGATCACTTTCTTTAATTCCCTCTTTGTTTTTGTCTTTTCTGTTTTCTTCACGTTTCTCTTGGTTTTCTTGTTCTTTTTCTTCAGTAGTGCTTTCTTTATCACTTGTCAAATCAATATATCTTTTTCTGAGCCTTTTCCAAAGTTTAAACATTTCTTGGGCACTCTCTTCCAGTCTTCCACAACAATAGTCCATCCTGCCTTTAGAGACCTAAAGACAGATACGTCTTACGGCTGTATAATATGTGTTGCATTGGGTAGGAGCACATAGAGAATAATGCCGTTGGCTTGACATAATCGGCACGCATTCAATGTCAAGTGGCTTTTGTGCCCATCTATGAGTCCAGGCAACTTTATCTTGTGTGACTTTATCCACGGAATAAACGTGTTGCCAATGAAACAAAAAAATGTTTGTCCGGTCATCCACCCTGATGGGAACCTACCGAGTGCCCATTCAGGGTTGCAGTTTCTGGCTATGTCCATTGGTATTCTAACATACGGAAATACTATCATAGGTGGGAGCATTTCCCCTGCCGCATTAACTGTGACCAAAGTTGTGATACTTTCTTTCTCGGAGCCATCTTTAACTACGTAAAAGTTTTTGTAATTTACCGGCCCCAAGACTAATCCCGATTCAGGATTTGTTCTAAAACCTGATTCGTCGAGGTTGAAAATTCTTTCTGGTTAACTTAAAATATCTTCAGCGTTTTCTACCTTTAAAAAGTCTTTTAACTCTTGGGCCCAGCCTCGTAACTTTGCTTCGGCAATCTGAGCCCTACCCCTATTTATTGTTTCTGCGTGGCATTGAGTAAGACCTGGATGCCTTTTCAGAAACGCACTTATCCATGAGTATCCCGGTTTATTGTTTGCAAACGGGTTGGGTCTGCTGTCTTCGGTGACACTATTTTGTACCGTTTCTATTAGTGTTCTTTTATTCAGGGGAAATCCTTTTTTGGCATTAGCTACTATGTACCTAGAAAGTAATTTCTCTTCTTCAGTTGACAAAATAGTGGGAGGTCCCATTTTTCTAATTTCGGGTGTTTTTCCCTTCACTTTGTATTGGAGGGTAGAAAATGGCACACCATACTCACGGGAAGCCTTGCGGCTGTTCATTTTGCCTTCTCGCACAGCCTTCAGGGCAGATTGCATATTTTCTTCTGAGTATTTGAACTTTGGTCTCTTCTTCGGCAGTAGACGGAAGGTTGCCTAAATCGTACCACTTTTTACGTTTTATTTTTTATATACTCTACCATTAAACACTTAGCCAAAATAACATTCCCCTGAAAAGTATTGGTTATTTAGCCAAGTAAAACTAATTTTTAATAAATAATATTATGATATTTGGCTAAGTTAAAACAGCTTTTGTAAAGTTATGCAATCGGTACAATTTAAGCAACCGGTTTCCTAAATCGTACCTCATATATCCTAAATCGTACCACCCTGGTAAAGTTGACAATAAGTTGATAAAAATAAATTAGCATGAGTAACTAAAAAAAAACTATTTATTAACACAACGTTTTTACACAATTCAAAGGCAATATACATATTTGGGATACCATTTGGAATATTTTCTGAAGTTAGTTGACAAAAAATTTTATTAAACAACTTTTTATGAATAGACTTTTATTAAGAAGATAATCTATTAACACAATCACTCTATTTTAATAAAAAAGAAAATATGTTTACATGTAAAAATTAATTTTTAACTTTTGGCTTGTATTTTATTAGCCTAACTACTGCAAATTGAACACACATATTTCTTTATCTTAGCCTTTAATCCGGCACAGCTTTCATGGACCCATTTCTTGCAAATCAAGCACTGCACCATGTCCTCTATTATACTTTCTTCACAAACTGCGCAATACCAATCTTCAGGATTCATGTCGACAGTGACATCACTCGCCGCTGAAGTCCCAGCTTGGTTTAGGAGACCAACGCCCAATGCCTTAGGTTTCTTGGTAATCGATTTCTTTGACTTCTTAGTTAGGCTAGCTCGGTTAAGTGACACATCCGTAGAGTTTTTAGTTAAAGGCCCGATTTTCAGCTGTAGCTCTTTCACCTTTTCCTTTGCCAGTTTCAGTTCCCGAGACAGTTCCAGTTGCTTTTTGTAAGGGCTACTGGTTAGAATAGCTGACGTTTGCTTATTTGTAGGCTTCAGATTAGAAAGTTTCCTTTTTTTAGTTGGTTTGGGAATTGGACAAATCATTTCAATCGACACATCTAGGTTTGTTGTTAGGTCTAAGTTGGTTGAACTGTTAGGTGAGGTTACATCGAGAAGTTGATCTTCATACAAGCCTTTCTCTTCTTGGTCCAATGTTTCTGCCGGCAAAAAGTCTGAATCTTTAAAGACTGAAGAGTCAACGGGCCATACACCACTACACTTTAACCCATTAGAAGAATTCTCGATTGTTGCAGCTTTGCCATATGCTTCATTCACTAACTGAGAAATCTGGAATTGTGTGACTTTTAATCCAGCATTAGTTCGCAGCCATTTTTCTGCAGATTGGGTGAAGTATCCTTTGAAAGGCTTAAAAAATACCCTGTCTAATGGCTGCAGTCGGTGTGTAGTGTGTGCTGGTAGTTGCAGCATAATTACACCAGCATCTCGAGCAATTTCCAATGCCTCCAAGTTCTTCGAATGCGTCGAATGGCCATCAAGGAGTAAGAGAACCTTTTTCTCTTTGGTTGGCTTTACAATATCAACAAAATTTTGAAGCCACTTTACAAAAAGCTCCGAAGTAATCCACCCGCTCTCCGATACGTCCACTAAACTTCCCGGCGGAGCGCCAACCTTCAATTCATTTGCCATCCTCATTCTCTTGAAAATGATTAGGGGGGGAACGTACATGCCTGCTGCACTTGAGCAGCACACGACTGTAGTGTTTACTCCTCGCTCACCATTCGATATCGACCCCACAGCACGCTTCCCCTTTTCGGCTACCACCTTTTGACATTTGTTTTGTACGGTACTTACACCCGTCTCGTCAACGTTAAAAATTCGAGTAGCATCAATTTGATTTTCATCAATTGTATTTTTTTAAATTTCAAAAAACGCATTGACGTTGCTTCTAGAAAACCCTTGTGCTCTAGCTAAGGATGTTGCCTGAGGCTCACGAAGTGCAATATCTTTATGACGTTTCATGAAGTTGTAGTACCACTTCTTACCAGCAATTTGTTTCTCCTCATTAAATACGTGGAGTATGCCATTTCTTTGAGCAATTTGAAATGCAAGCCTACGCACGTCTGAAATCGTTAGCCCAAACAGACACGCTTCCATTTTTTTTATATGGTCGACCAGCTGTTGTTCTACGTCAGGTGGCAATGTAGTGTGACGTCCCATTGTTTTTACACCTTCATTAGCCTTAACATTTTTACCGTCTAAGTGACGCTTGAGGGTTGGTTTTGGTATTCCGTACTGCCTACAACATGCATTAAGTCCCATGTCTCCGTTTCTATAAGCAGCTATGGCCCTTTCCATATCCTCTTCATCCCACGCTCCATACTTTCTTTTTGCCATTCTGAAACACAATAATCAATAGCTACTATGTTTGTTCCATGAGGCAATTAATTTCATCAATTGAACATTAATTATAAACACCAAATGAAAGTATGGAACATTGAATTAAAAGTATGATGCTCCCAAATCGTACCGGTACGATTTGAGAAACCATCAGAGGTACGATTTAGGCAACTGGGACTCGCAGCAAACATAACCTTATTTCTAACCTCATACACACTTTCAGGCACAAACTGACCGATCAAAACACTCTGTATTAATGCTAGATTCAGAAAATAATACATATTCTTATTATTACGTACCTTGGCAGTCCTCATGTGCTTACGAAAAACCTTCAAAAACACTATGGAGTTGATCCAAAACACAAAAACTGTTATAAAATCTGAGTGAGTTACAGGGCACGCGCCAAATTTTGTCTCGATATTGCCACTAACAAGTAGTTGCTGTTTACGCCGCACGAGCGCCGTAGTCACTCTATTTTGTTATAAAATCGAGGTGGTACGATTTAGGAGACGGTACGATTTTGGCAACTCTCCTACTGGGAAGGGATCATCTGGTTCTTCCTCATCATTGATAAGCCTTGATTTTCTCTTATTTGACGCCATGCCTAAAAACCCCGGAAAAATGTGAGGAAAAAGGGGTAAGCTGAGGCCTAGTACAGGTAAGTAGGAAGTAGGTAGTTGGGTAGTTAAGGTAGAAACAAGATAATTACAACATACGCTTAGGTGATAAATTACTGGCTATGAATGAATATTCAATAATTGATCGATTTGATCAATTACTGACTACCCATTAATTTTACTGACCAGTAATTCATCGATTAACCTAAAAAGTTAAATATTATGTTTCTATTAATAACCAATAATCTAGAAAGAAAGTGCATCTTTCAAGCATCAAAACTAACCAACCTTAGTTAAATATAATCAATAATTAACCATTTGGCAACAGTTTAAAACTTACCTATGCATGGAGCAGCTTTTCTTTATAGCAGGTGCAAAATTGGAGGGAAACTTGTAAAAAAAATCACAGCCAAACTAATCTGAAAAAAGTCAGCACTGTGTGCTGTGATCACACTGGAGCTATGAGTGGTTTCCACCTCGTGGTCAGGCGTCCCCGCTCTCCACCGTGGATCAGGACACTTTCTCCTTTCGTCAACCGGTTTAGCCATATATATTTCCCGAATAACTTTAGCAGACCATTCTTAATGTCAATTCGGCCCGAACCATCTTTTAAAATATCGCAGCCGAGAACAGCTAAATAGCCCTTCGGTAAGTTGCTTACCACGTATGTTCCGGGCACGTGTACGCCAGGCTTTAGCAGAATAGAGACTTCCTGCTGACCGTACACCTTCAGAATACGGCTCGGCTATAGGGGCAACAGACCCACCTCGCTTTATGATTGATGCCTGCGCGCCAGTGTCTATCAACACCTTACCTTCCAAACAGTCTATCTGCCCTATCGCCACTAGTTCTTGAGCTAGTGATTTTACCTCGGGGATGACTCTTACTTCCTTTCTTTTAGGCTGTCTGCAGTTAGTTTGCGTCACCTGAGAGAGATTTGGCTCTCTTACTGACGGGGCCTGGCGTTGGTGACTCCACTGGGCCCGTTGTCGTTTCCCGCTGGCCTGTTTGGGGAACGCCGACGTTGACCCGCCCGGCAGCCTGCCCTCAAATGTCCCG